CAGTAGTTGTAGGCTAGGTCTAGGCGGGTACCAGTCCAGCCAGTCTGAGTCTAGGGCCTGTACGAGCAATATCAGAGTCTGCAATGATGATTCCCTCCGAAAGGGAGGAGGTACCGGTTGCTGGGAAGGCCGAGCGGCCTGGAAGTCACCGCCCAAGGCAAGCAGGCCGCTATATCTCCAGGTCGGGCGAAGAGCCCAGCTTCATTGTCGGTGTGCAAGTTTGGCGACACACTGGTTGGAGCGCTGCTGGAGAAGAAGCAAGGACACGGAGGAGGAAGAAGAGCAGGGGGAAGGGGGAGCGCCAGAGGTACTTACCTGGCTATGGTGGCAGCCATCTTCATCACCTTGGTGGGCGCTGCAGCAGGAAGACCCCATCAGGGGTAGAGCCGCACCAAGAAGCTTCGAGGCAGAGTCAGGCATGGCGGCCTGAGCTGGAGCCGCCATGCCTGCTTTCGGTTGTCCTTTGGACATCAGGGCAAGGCCCAGTAGTCCGCCATAGCCTCGGCCTATGAGAGTGAAGAGTGAGGGAGGCGGCCATGGCTATGGGGGACCTCCAGTGATACCTGCTGTAGAAGAGGAACTCGGACATGATTCTGGATCAGCCATTCAACATTGTACTATTATTTCTTGTATGAATAAGAGAGGAGTAAAGGAGGAGGAGAGTGTTGGGCGAAGAAGAAGAGCTTTGTCATTTGTCTATGCTGGTGTACATCATCTTCTTCTTCTTTCTTTCTTCTTCTTCTTCTTCTTCTTCTTACCCCCTCTCTCCTCTCAAGTTCATTCATTTCTTTCTGCAGTTGGACGGCATTATACTATCTGATGAATGTGTATCTCGAAATTGGCCAGGATCATAACATTCTTCAACTTCTTATTGCTATTACTACTGTCTGCTACCTCTTCGTATTGAGTTCAGAATCCACACTATCCAGGGGAAGCATCAACCTGGTGGTGGTTTTCAACTTTCGTCGGGGTCTGCGGTACAATATGCTGCCGCATTTTATTTTATTTTTTTCAATTGCAGGAATAAAAGGTTGTCTCCCCAGAATGGATATGGAGCCAGGCCCATAAGGACCTGTTTTTGTTATTAAAAAAAAAAGGAATAAAAGGATGTCGTACTGATGATCTCAACTGTGACGAGTGCAGAGCACTTTGGGCAATTTTTAGGTTTCTAAATTTAAAGACAGGATGATCCAAATGATGGAGAAATCACGGTCCCGTAATCTCCCATTGAGAAGAGGACTGATGTGGAAAATGCTCTCTGCCATTTGGGAGTGCAGTCGCGCAAGGAGGCGGAGAAAGCACATGACAAACACATGGACGAGAAGATCCGCGATTTCCGAGAGAAAAAGGAGAAAGCATTACAAGAGCAACGAGAAAAGGAGTTGAAAAAAATTACTGCCTTCGCAGAGCTCCGAGACAGGCTTATTGCGCAGCAAGAGAAGGTTGGTTTGTTTTCTCATGGGTCCCCCTACTTCGAGTCCCGTCATTTTGGTCCCGTCATGTGATCAGATGGTCTCGATAAATACTATAAAACTGTACTAAAACCATAAACAAAATCTCGGAAAAAGCACACCAAACTGGTCGACTGTATCGTTGGGCAGAATTGCTGGCTGTCGCTAGCTGCGAGTTGCTGAGAGACACCACCCATTTAAAGCAATCTGCAGTCCTTGCCAAACTGCTTGTTTCTTTTTGGTCTGTAAAGGAAAAACTAACCCTACTACTACTACTACTACTACTACTACTATTACTACTACTACCACTACTACTACTACTACTGCTACTACTACTACTACTGCTACTACTACTACTATTGCCACTACTACCACTACTACCACTACTACTGCTACTACCACTGCTACTACCACTACCACTACCACTACCACTACCACTACTACTACCACTACTACTACCACTGCTACTACTACTACTACTACTACTACTACTACTACTACTACTAAGTAGTAGTAGTAGTAGTAGTAGTAGTAGTACTCCTGGTATTGCTATTGCTACTAGTATTGCTACTACTAATACCACAGTATCAGTACTACCACTACCGTGTCTACTACCACTACTACCACCACTACTACCACCACTACTACTCGTGCCGGTTAAAAAAAAAAAAGAAAAAAAAAGTAAAGGAATACGGATGAACTGTATGGCAGAGGTAGGTCTTGATGATAATTAGGAGGGTGGTCGGTGATGTATGGCTTTGATACTATATAGCGCATTGGGATGGTCTGGGTGTAGAGGAGAAATAGAATGGGCTCAAACAACAAACAAACAAACAAACAAACAAACAAAAACAGAAAAAGAAAAAAGGGAAGGAAAATAATTGGGCCTTTGTGTGGGACTGTGAAAGGCAGCAGGGTGTTGTAGGTTGTAAAGAAGAGTTGTGATAAGTGAGGAACTGGGTTAATGGATATGGAGTATTATGGACCCAGAACCATAAGGTTTTGCTCTTTTGAAAAAAAAGGGAAAAAAAAGATCTGGGTCAATGTGGGCTTATCGGTGGGTGCCAGGCAGACTGTATATGTGACACAGTCCCTGTAGCAGGTCCATTTGGGGAACGTTGGGGGGTTTCATGCTGAGCATCTGGGCACTACATGGGAGTTTTCCCGGCCAGGATGGCAATCCCGGTAGACAGGCCGGGACCCACGGGCTGGGTTCGCATATGGAATCCCCCCTGATTGGTGTCTCGGGCCACAGGGCTAAGGCAGTCTCTTTGCTAGTCTGCAGTAGCCCTGTCTCTTTTCTGTACCCTCCCCTGCCCTCCTTTGTCCCCGCCCGTTCCCCCCCCCCCCCCCCCCCCCCTCTTTCCCTTCTTAGACTATTCAACTCCTTTGTCAGTCATAACCTGTTTTCTTTTTTTTTAATATATTTTTTAATTTGATTTTAATTTGGCCCAGGGTTACCTGTCGCTCCTCTGAATGTTCGCCCCCCCCTGGACACACGTTCGGGTTCGACCGAACGCGAAAAAAAAAATATTTTTGTTTTTGTAGTTACTTGATTGATTGGTCATTGATTGATTATTTGATAGGAAAAAAAAACAAAGGAAAACATACTGCGCACGTTAGTTTGTGAGACTTTCTCTCTCTTTCTCTCTTCATCTCCCTCTCTAGCTCTCTTTCTCTCTCCCTTTTTTTTCCCATCTCTCTCTCTCTCTCTCAAACACTATCACTCTCTCTTTCTCTCTCTCTCCCCCCCCCCCCTCTCTCTTACACCCCCCCCCACTCTTCTTCCTCCCCCTCTTCCCTCTCTCTCTCGCTCACTCACAGACACACACACACATCAAAAAAGTTTTAAGAAAAAGGAAGAGGAAAAGAGAAAAGAGAAAAGAAAAACAAAATAGTGAGCAGCAGAGCATGTTTTCGACATCGCCATCTTTGGCGATTTTTCTTGTATTGTTTCGTCTTTTGACTGAGACAAATGCCCTGAAAATTTATATGGATATACCTCACATCATAAAGAACCCAAGAACAAAAAAAAAAATAAAAAAAAAAAACAAGAGTTTTCAGCATGGTAACCCCGGACCCGGACACCGGACACTTCCGGACTGTCTTCCGGGCCAGTGTCTGGACCGGTCCGGACTGTCCGGTGATCCGGACATCACCGATACACCGGAAAGTCCGGACCGGTCCCCGGGGTGCAAACATGTCCGGACC